GCCACTGCGCTCCAGCCTGGGCGACAGAGCAAGACTCTGTCTCAGAAAAAAAAGGACATCTGTGTCAGAATAGTATTAAAAATTAACAAAAGTAAAAGTTACCAGTCTTTGGCACCTACTATGGTAAAAGCTATACGTTAGGTACTTTACATGCACTATTTATAGTCCTTACCACCACCTGGTAAGAATTTGCAGATAAAGTAACTGAGGCTCAGAGAAAATAAGTAATGTACCCAAAGTCACACAACTAGTCCAAGTAACTCCAAAGCCCATGACTTTGTGCTGTAGCCTGCTGCCTTTAGAAGAGAGATAATTGTAAAATAATTCAAATAAAATGAAAAAGAGAAAAGTAAACAGAACAGTAAATGGAACAGAGAAGGTGTATTCTGTTTGACTCTTGGGAGCACATAATTTAATCATTCATCAAATTCTAATTGCATAAATATTGTTCATGGGTATTCTAGCGGTTTGTAAGCAGTGTCTGCCTGACAGATGCCTCATTTTCCCAAATGGTGGCCATTCTTAGCCCCACCCTGCTTCCTCTCATGGGCCTTAGCTGAAATTTGTCAGAACATTACAGCTGTGACATAAAAGCCTCAACATCTGAACAACATTGGACTGTGTTGGAAATTCAACCTTCTCTATGAGACTGTTGCTTGTTAGAAGAGGGGGTTGAGTGTTTACTCGCAGTGGGGTCACAAGGTCACACAGGTATGGAATTTTTGCATTAGGAACAACTGCAAAAAAAACTGTAGCCTATTGTATTATAATCTTAGGCTGGGACAAACTGAGCTAGTCTCACTGAGTGACTGAGCCTTAAATCAGCTGAAAAATTGATTGTTTCAGTAACTACTGAAATGAAGCAAAAATTTTCCAAACTTACCTAGTTATTTTGTTGTCATTGTATTTTTGGTAATGATACATCAGAATATTCTCTAGACCAAACCATTCTCATTCTCTTTGACTCCCACATTAAAAACAAAGTTGTCTTATAAGCAGTTAATTATTAATTTGTGCCATCAGATAAATTCTCTAGTTTCAAACACTAAATTTTGGATTTTTTTTTTTTAAGTTTTACTGTAAAATTATTTTTTGTTCTTCTGAACGTGATCTGACATAGGGTAGCTACTTGTTAAAGATCTGTGAAATGTTGTCAGGCACTGCCCTCCAGCCTTGGAGGGCTTGTTACAGTGAGCCCCCTGCATGTGCTGGTTCCTCTGCCTGGAATGTCCATCCCGGCACACCACCACCCCCCGTCCAGCCCCTTTCCCTCACTACTTCTCGTGCTCAAATGCTGCCTTTTCTAACTCCTCTGGAGCAGTGTTGTGCAATAGAAGGACATTGAGAGCCTCAGATGGGAGCCATGTGTATATAATTTCAGATATTCTGGTAGCCACATTAAAAATGTTTTTTAAAAAGCAGGTGGAATTTTAATACAATATTACACAGTTTATTTAACCCAACTTATTCAAAGTTATTGAAATAGTTTATATTCCCTATTTTTTTTTTTCATACTGAGTAGGAAGTCAGTGTGTATTTTATACTTAGAGCCCCTCTCAGTTCAGACTAGGTGTGTATGGCTGGCAGCTGCCTCACTGGACAGTGCAGGGCCAGACCTTCTTGCTAAATTGCTCTACTGGGAGTGAGCC